AGATGCTCCTACAAAAAAAGGAATTGAAAGACCCTGATTTGTATATTTGGGGTAAAATCTTAGGACAAATTGGGCCTAGGTCCAGAATAAATGTGGACCATTCCTATCAGAGCATAAGAGCATAAAAATGTTTATTATATCACATCAGTGTTAACAAAAATCAGATTGATAGACTTTTCAAAGAAGAAACTAAAGATAATCTCAGGCTGTGCTCATAGTAATATAGTCTTTCTGAAAGATGATTAGCTTGTTTACATACCACGTTAACATAAAAGATTTTTTAAACCAGTGAGCATCTTTTAATTAAAATCTGTGCTTTAAATAAAGACATAAAAGCAGTTCCAGCAGTGAAAAATTAAGGCAAATGTCTCCATCTAAGGTGGGGCTGCCAGATAAATACAAGATGCCCAGGTTAATTTGAATTTCATATGAATAACAGATGATTTTTTTCATATAAGTAAAAACCAAAAATCTAACTCAGCTTCCTGTATTTTTACTTCCTAAATATGGCAACTATAATCTAAGGGGGCAAATTCTGTTTCCAAATACTGCTCCTGAATAAAATCCAAAGTACATGATAGACAAGTAATTTGGAAAATAATTTTATATCTCACTGAAACAGGGTTCCTTGACATCAGCACAATTGACATTTGGGGCCAGATAATTCTTTTTTTTTTTAATATAGTTTTTTATTTATTTCAGAGAGGAAGGGAGAAGGAGAGAGAGACAGAAACACCAATGATGAGAGAGAATCATGGATCAGCTGCCTCCTGCATGCCCTGCACTGGGGATCGATCCTGCAACCTGGGCATATGCCCTGACTGGAAATCAAACTGTGACTTCTTGGTTCATAGGTCAATGCTCAACCACTGAGCCACACCAGCTGGGCAGGGGCCAGATAATTCTTTGTTGTGAGGCTATTCTATGTATTGCAGGATGTTCAGCAGCATTCCTGGCCTCTACTCAGTAGATGCCAGTAGCATCCCTCAGTTGTAACAACCAGAAATATCTGCAGACATTGCCAGGACACTCCTGGATGGGGGAGGGGTGTCTGTGTGTGGCGGGGGGGAGGGGGGGCAGGGGGGAGGGGGAATTAACCTTTTTGAGGACCACTGTTCTGAGGGAGGAAACTTAAGTAAGTGTGATACATGTATTTTAATAGAAAACTAGCCTGTCCTGGACTTGAAGACAGAAGAGAAAGCCATACTCTGGTTTCTTTCTTTTCCTTCCTTCCTTCCTTCCTTCCTTCCTTCCTTCCTTCCTTCCTTCCTTCCTTCCTTCTTTCTTTCTTTCTTTCTTTCTTTCTTTCTTTCTTTTTTAATCCTCACCTGAGGATATTTTTCCATTGATTTTTAGAGTGGAAGAGAGAGGGAAAGACAGAGAGAAATATTAATATGAGAGAAACACATCAATTGGTTGCCTCCTGCACACGTCCCATCTAGGGCCTGGGCCGGGGAGGATCCTCCAACTGAGGTACTTGCCCTTGACCAGAATCAAACCTGCAGTCCGACACTCTGTCCACTGAGCTAATTGGCTAGAACTCTGGTTTCATTTTACAGCACCTTGGGAGAGACACCAACGAGAACTGATGGGAAGTGGTTGAGAGGTTGCAAAGCTGGCGGATGTGGGATTGCTTTGCAATCTGAGGCACTGTAGAGAAGGTCCTGCTTCTCAAGGGCTTTGAGAGGAAAAGGCCGTAGGAAGTACTTGTGAGAAGGCTCTGATTCCCAGCATAGTCTCATCCAGGCTCTGAAAGAACAGTTAGTACAGAGTCTGCTGATTTCTGGAAAAGGAGTGTTTTATTTGGATAGCAATAAGTGAAATTCCAACCTAGACCACCTAGCTGAATAATCATGCGTGTGTGTCCAAAACAAACAAATTGCCAAGAGATGTGTAGAGAACCAGAGTGGGAAACTGTTTACGACATGATTTTCAGAAAACAATTTGGCAGGGAATTTTGCTAAGGTGCTGTTGCTTTTATTTTCCCCAAGAAAACATATGAATTTAGTTTGCTGTCTAAACCAAAAAGGTAATGTGGTTATGCATATTATAGAGAAGTTTTTAAAGCATTAACCTTTCAAGTCCTTGTGACTCTAATTACTGTTCTTTGTTTGTATATAGAGAGTCACTAATCATTCCTTCCTGTAAGGAATTTTCAGTTCTAATCCTATTTTCCACTCAAATTCTGCATGGTTGCCAGATTGGAGTGAAAAATCAAATCCACTTCCAGTGAAGAGAGACTCAAAAGAACAGTAGTTCAAAGAAAATTCCAAAGAAAATGCATGAACTTCTTATTCTGCCTTTATTAGTTTTAAATCTACAACTTCATATTTTGTGAGGATAATGCAAAAAAAAATTTTTTAATTGAGTCATTCTAATTTTTCCTCCTGCATGCCCTCTACTGGGGATTGAGCCCTCAACCCAGGCATGTGTCCTGACCAGGAATCGAACCAGTGACCTCTTGGTTCATGTGTCAGTGCTTAACCACTGAGCAACACTAGCCAGGCTAATTGAGTCATTCTAACTAAATGTAAGAGATGTATTTCTATTATGTCAAGGCAATTCTGCTGTAAGGGTGAAGAAACTCAGTTCTTGTTCTCAGTTCTTTCTTTAGACAAACAAAATAAATGATGCCTAAAGATGCAGCAAAGACCAATTGCCCTTAAGATAAAATCCAGAATCCTTACAGCAGTCTACAAGGTTCTAAATTATCTGACAGGAATAGATCATTTTCCCCAACTCCTAGGGTAAGCTCCTCTAATATATAGACCCCAAATAGAATAGCTCAAATAAAACAAATTTGACCAATCTCTCTTATAACAGATTAGAAGTATGCAGATGGTCAGTGGTCCAGGATTCATGGGGAGCTTGATCCATGAAGTCATCCACTGACCCAAGTAAAGTGTGTCCCAAAATTCACGCAAGAAGTAATTTTGATAGAAAACACAGGTTTATAATTAAAAATTGTAAATTTTTTATTGATTCATAAAGTATACAGTATAGGGTTATGTATGGAATAGCACATTGGGTAATGGAGTCTGGGCCTTGTGTCCCTTGACCAGACTCAAATGGCCTCCACAAATTTGCTGGCACATACGCAAAGCCGTGGTCTTCATTGGTCTTCATTGTCCCTGCTCCTGGGCCATAATTGGTACTTGGTAATGCTTATCAAATTGAAGGGATTGAAATCAAAAGGCAACAGATATTAGAATCTGATTCAATAAACCAACTAAAATTAGGCTTTTATTTTTTGTTGTTGTTGTTAATGCTCACACAAAATTCAAATCTTGCGTGAATTTTGGGACACCCTTTACTTTCTATCTTGTTGCTCTGAAGTCATTCTCCTTATCCATATGTTCAAAGCTGGCTCGCCACTGAGAGGGCAAGGGCTACGCCCTCCATCTTACCCCGGATCCTCCATATTTAGCTAAGCAGCAGCCATCAGCCATGTGCTCGGCAAGGAGCTTCTTCCCGGAAGCCCAAGCCTCTGCTCTTTAAACTAACCAATGACGATCAAGGGAAGTGCGCACCATAGACACAACCACATCCTGTGTAACAAGACCCCGACTTGCACCTGGCCAATCGGCAGGGCCCACAGTCCTCTCTCCTCCCCTTACTCCAACCCCCCTATAAAACCCCTCTTCCCACAGAGCTAGCTCTCTCTCTGCCGCTTGCCGCTGCGTCGGTGAGTATGGTCGGGGAGCCGAGCTAGCTCGAATAAAGACTCTATCTGCTTTTGCATCGGACACGGCGCTCCCTGGTGGTCTTTTGGGGATCCTGAAATCTGGGCTTAACAACCACCACCCTCCTTGTGTTCCAACCTGTAGAAAGGTAAGCAGAGAGGTGGGCAAATAGCTTTCTTTTAAAGATGTGTTACAGGGTGAGTTTCCTAGGAAACAGACTCTGTGGTGTGCATTAGTGTGTAGGAGGTTCCTTAGGGAGTACTCCTGAGATCAACACCTGTGGGGGTTGGAGAAGAAGGGGGAGGAAGCCTAACTGGGAAGAGGGAGAAGTTAAGCCACAGGATAGTCTTAAGGTCTCAACTGACCTTTTGGGGAACACTGATGAAGACATGGCCCTTAGAGTTGGGATTTGAATTTGGGCCTTGTGTCCCTTGACCAGACTCAAGCTATTCTAGGAACAGGGCATGGCCTTGGATGAGTCAGCTCTTTTCAGCTGAGGCAATTCCCAAAGATGGCTGTCAGCTAATAACCTTCCAGGTGGCTAGGTGGCAGCACAACACAGCAGCTATGAAAAGATATAACCTGGAAGTTGCAGAAACCCATTCAACTTACATCTCATTATCTAGAACTCCTAGGGCGGCCACCATAGCTGCCAAGTCGGCTGGGAAATACAGTCCCCGGATGGAGGCAATATACTCAGCTATGAAGGGGAAGGAAGGGGAGAATGGACATTGGGGAACAATTGCAAGAGGGAAGGAAAATCATTGCTTCAGTTTATTCCGTTTATTGACTTTTAAATCAAAAACTATTTTACCAAAGAAGCTACCCACAAAGCCCAGAGGCAAAAAGAGAGCTAAAAATGGGACAAGAACTGAGAGGTGATGTCTTGAGTAATGATGACTACACCAAACTTAGTTAGATTTTGCGAATGAGCCATCACAGATTTCCCAGAGCTCTGTACAAAGGGGTTCCTGTTCCCCGCAACCCCAAGTCACGAGGAGAACTAAATGAAGCAATATCTGACTTTGAGCTCTATTTCTATTTCTACCTCTGGAATTAGATGCTTCTCTAAAACCTTCTACATATCAGAGCAAGTCACTTAATGTAGAATATAAAAGGTACTGAAATGTGATTCTGCTTCTATAAAGAAAACAGTAATTATATTGACCGAAATCAGACACAAATCAGATAGCACTAATACAAATTTATTACTTTCTATTAGTGGTACTTGGGTATTTGGCATAATAATGGTGTGTGGAAAGAAAGGAAACTAAGAAAAGCTTAAATGCCTGCTTCCCCTCTTTCTAAACAAAACAGCTGGACAAGTTCCTGCCACTAACTGGACCAGGGATTGGAACCTATTATGAAAAGCGCCATCTATATGCTAAGCACAAGATCAGCAGCCTCTGAAGAAGCCTGGTAATAAAACTCTTACCAATAGCAGCACTATTAAGTAGCATGGGACTAAACAGCCAACTGATTCTCTCATGAAGTTGGAATATGACAGAGAGAGGAGCCAGTGTGCAGGAACAGGAAATCATAGTAGAACTGTAGAGACAAAAACTGAGGGAGATGAGCGACCAATTTCTGACTTCTACAATGGCCAATGGGCTCCTGAAAGTGCTTTGTTTTCTTCTTTGAGGGCAAATTCCAACCACAGGTTGAAGCTAAGATGCTTATGAAGCCCCAGGGCTTCTTACTGAGACAGCCCCCCACTCCCTAAGGCTGTAGATTCCTGTGCTTCTCTTGCCCCAGCATCCTGACCTCCAGCATCCATCACTTGAAGCTATCTGAGTGACTCCACAACTAATAACTTAAACATGCCTAGTGAGAAAGTCTCCATCCCCACCCACAAGTATGGTGACACTAAGACCCAAGTTTACAGCTCAGGAAACTTCATTCCTACTGAAGTTGTGGTGTTAATATCTTCAGATTAAAAGGTATCTTTAGGAAATAGTCAGTCTTTCCACTGGGACCTCATCCTAGACTCTCCTGCACAGCACTCAACTCTGCCAAAGATCCTCTCTCCTCTTCCCTCTGCCTCGTCCCCCTCCTCCCACCACACCAGTGCTGGCATCCATGGGACTCCTTAGCTGCACATGAAGGGGCCTACGTGGAATCCTATCTCTCCCCACCTCTGGGATTTAGCCATAGCCAAGCACATGGGATAGGTAAGAGTAAGAATTCCACAGGTCTGGGTTTAAATCTTAGCAGTGTGGTCTTGGAAAAGTCATGTATCCGCCCCAAGCCTCCAACTCCTCATTTGTAAAATAGGAACATAATAAAAAGTATGGACTTTGGTAAGAATTAAGTGAGGTAAAATTAGCTATTGGCACAGGGCCTAGAATGTAGTAGGTACCCAATAAATGACAGCCGTAGCAGTAGCTACCTCATAAATAAGCCTATTTGGAGGAAATTTACCCTAAGGTAAGATGAATGTGAACTTGACCCAGTAATAAAACTTCACAGGTAGAGATTCTGAATATAGATTGGTGCCCAGCTCTTAGTTCTGTCTCCTGGCCCAGTTTCCCAATAATTCATTGTCAAGCCCCCTATAGAGGTGGGGTTATACTAGTAAGTAAATTACGAACAGAGCTGTTTCATTAAAAATTCATTGAAGCTTTTGGGTGTTATAAGGCAGTGTTGCTTTGGCACCACCACAACTTCCTAAAATATATATACACCACCTAACCAGGAAAGAGTCAGTCTATTAAACTGCACTTCAAAATGCTGCACAGCTTTGGAATCTCACAGGATCCAAAGCATCAGAGGGTACTCAGCAGATTGGCACTAGTATCCAGCAGACATGACTATGGTCCCCAGCTGATGGGACAACAGTACCTAGTAGACATGAGTATGGTTCCCAACAGATAGAATAATGATCTCCAACAGACATGACTGCAGTCCCCAGCAGGCATGACAGTGATCCCTAGCAGAAGTGGTGATATTTCCAGAAAGAGCAGAAGAGTGCTCTCTTGATATAGCAGGACTCTTGGAAGCAGCAACCAGCTCAGGCTGATTGAGACCAAGAGCAGTGCTGGAGCCCAAGGGTGTGGTGCTGGCCAATGGTTGGGAGAAGAGTGGAAGAAAATGGGGTGGCTGCCCATATTTATTTATGAACATATGCATATTATAGCCCAAGGTCCAATTTGGGGTATGAGTGTAGTGGAGGAGACTGTGAATTGAAGCAAAGTGAGGAAAATGGGCAGGGAGCTATGGAGTGCTCTTCTGTTGCCCAGGATCCTCATAAGAGTCAAATGAAGACCTTCATTTACAGCCCAGTATTTCAGTGAGGAAGTAGAAGAGCACTGGTCTTTCCTCCCAGTCTGCTGCTGACTCTCTGGGGGAAGTAAATGAACACCTGTGGACCTCAGCTTATCCATGGAGGGAAGAGATTGTACTCATAACTGAGAGGCCCTTTCTTTGATGATTTTATTCCATCACTTCCAGATTCAGATAAAACCAAGAGCTTCCTCACACTCCTTCCCTGTTGAAATGTGTAACTCCAAAGAACTTGGAAATGTTAGCATTCCGGTAAGTCATCTTTTAAGGGACACTTTACATCCTTTAAAATAATTAACATTCAATACTCAACCTTAGAACATTATCTTAATTTAGATGAGAAAAGATGAAGCAAGGAAAAGGTGTTACCCTCTCATGGTTTTATTTTTGGCATTAAAACAAAGCTCCAATAGGAGATGGGAAGGTTTTGTTTCTTTAGTACTGAGCTGGTGGCAGCATAAGCTAAGTAGGAGTTGACTGTCTCAGGTATGGACTTCTCCTAAGTGGCCCAAGTATCAAGTGCAGCCTAGATGAAGGATGCCCAGGGGCTTGCATGGCCTGGTCACAAGCGGGAGACCTTCTGTGAAGGTCTACAAGTCCCTGGGGAGATAGGAGGGCATATTCTAAAGAGCTGAAGCTTGCCTCACTGTTGGGGGTGGGAGTGAGATAATCAGTAATCTTCCCCACCACCGCTGCCTCCTGCATGTCCCCTACTGGGGATCAAGCCTGAAACTCAAGAATGTGCCCTGACCGGGAAATCTAACTGTGACCTCCTGGTTCATAGGTCGATGCTCATCCACTGAGCCACACCAGCCAGGCCATCATGTGTTTTATTGAAACTACATCATTCATATCATTAGTAAAATGAGTGCTGATTGTTGACACTCATGGAGCAGGTCCCCGGGAGGCCAGGTGTCACAGGGAAGACTGGCAGATGGTTCCTTTTCATGGTGAAAGCACCAGAGAACAGGCTGGGGATTCAGTCTCAGTGCTGAAACTCTTCTCCTGTCAGTGTGTGAGGGAGGCTGAGGAATCATCAGCAGACTAACACTATTGTCATTAAAAGGTTTCTCTTTCGAGATGGACATCAGCAGCAGCAAGTCCTAGACCAGTGGTTCTCAACCTTCCTTATGCCGCGACCCTTTAATACAGTTCCTCATGTTGTGGTTACCCCCGACCATAAAATTATTTTCGTTGCTACTTCATAACTATAATTTTGCTACTGTTATGAATCATAATGTAAATATCTGATATGCAGGATGTACTTTCATTGTTACAAATTGAACATAATTAAAGCATAGTGATTAATCACAAAAACAACATGTAATTATATATGTGTTTTCCGATGGTCTTAGGCGACCCCTGTGAAAGGGTCGTTCGACCCCCAAAGGGGTCGCAACCCACAGGTTGAGAACCGCTGTGCTAGACAAACTACAAGGAAGCCAATTTAATTGAAAGTTGCTCAGCAAGCAACAAGGCTGATGTTTAATTGGGTCAGCTTATAATTACCTGATGCATCCATTTGCACCATGCGGCCTGTCTTCCTCTTGGACCAGAAGGGCTGTGTGTGGGGCCAGGACAACCTTTCTCTGGACAGTACTCGCATGTCCACCGCCAGCTTTTGCCTCACTGACTCTATCCATGCTACCATTCCCAAACATCAGTGTGTGACCAATTCCCTTTCTGACGGAGAAAGTCTTTCCTTAGATGTGTTAAAACCTTTCATGAGGACAGGTTAAAGTCAAGTCTCTCCATTGCATGAGAGGGGACTGCATACTGGGTTACCCATTACGTGTGCTCAGCTGGAAAAAGGCTATTTCCTTCCATAGCCTAATTCTCAGGGTCACCCCATTGTTGCCCTCCTCCTATGTAACACCTACACTGTAGTCTTAAAATGTCACTTTGTTTTATTTCATTTCATTTTTATTTTCTATGTTCTTTAGAATGTCTCCACTGTTTTTTTGAGTGGGATTGCTCTGGAAAAGGTTGTTATATTTAGCATAAGTTGAATCAAGTGAGATGACAAATTCAACTGCCATAATCAGCTTTAATGCATCAAAGGAGAGCAGATTCTGTCCCCATTTCAATTTCAATTTCAGAGACAAAACTGTGTCCATAAATGATGAGCAAATATACTTACATTATTACTACTAGCTCTAAAAGTTGGTCAGTAAAGTATTACAACATGAGGTAATAAGTTTTCATTTCTCTTTTTCATAATAGATTTTGCTTGTCTTGTTAGAGGCTTGCACCAGCAACTGCTGAAAACCCACAAACATGGACAAATTGCTTTTAATTCCAACCTTGGATGAACTGATTCAAATAGGATGGATTAATCTATTCCACACTCTCTGTGCTGCTGCTAATGAAGAAGACTAAAGAGCAAATGAAATACCTCTCACCTTTTCTTTTGTATTGTCGTTGGGCTTGGGATGCTCCAGACCAAGCTACTCTATGAGGTTGTGACACTTCCCTTAACACAAGCCTCCACTTAACAGCCAGGGGAAACCTTTCCCCTAGATAGCTGAATAGGTTACCATCAGTTTCCTCAGCTGCATGAGCTCCACCTCAATTGATAAACAGGAATATTTATAAAGAAAAATAGAGAAATAAAGGAAAAGTAAGCAAACGTTATCTATTGTGCAACAAGCAAATCTCAGAATCATAGCATTCCATGATACCTCACAGCCCGTGACAATAGAATAATTATTCCCCAGTGTCAATGGCAGTTTATTTTTATTCCGGGACCTTACTTGGCCTGAACCAGCCCCCCAAATTCTCTATTTTTCTGATCTGTATGTTGGCCAACGTATCTAGCTGGACCTGTATACAAAGAGTTACCCAGCAGTGAGATTTCTCTGTGTTTATATATAGTAACACAGCTTCTCCCCTGATTTGGAAGCTCAATTTTTGCCCTAGGTTACCACAGGAGCCAAGAGCACTAATTCTGCTTACAGTCAGGGTACTTAAAATTTCCTCTAAGCCAGCGGTTCTCAACCTGTGGGTCGCGACCCCTTTGGGGGTTGAACGATCCTTTCACAGGGGTTGCCTAAGACCATCAGAAAACACATATATAATCACATACTGTTTTGTAATTAATCACTATGCTTTAATTATGTTCAATTTGTAACAATGAAATTGGGGGGCACCACAACATGAGGAACTGTATTAAAGGGTCGTGGCATTAGGAAGGTTGAGAACCACTGCTAAGCCCTGCTGAACTTTTTTTAACAAGAGGGTTTGGTGCCCCCTTTCTCAGAGAACACACTCTGATTGTTCAAAGATTGTCACGGCAACCTACTGCTTCCCCACTCCTCTCATTTAGGCCCTGGGTAATATATCTTTAAAAAGTCAATTACAAATAGTAGTATCTGAATGAGAGAGAGAGACAGAGAAGAAAGAAGGAGGAGGAGGAGGAGGAGGAGGAGGAGGAGGAGGAGGAGGAGGAGGAGGAGGAGGAGGGGGAGGAGGAGGAGGAGGATTAAACAATATGTGCCAGGAACTTGTTTAAATATTTATATTTATTCTCTCACCTAACAAGTGCTATTGGCATCTTCACTCAGCTTACAACAGGTACCATTAGCATCTCCATCTTACAAATGACATCCCATCTAAGGAATAGGGCCATTAAATAGCCTCCCAAGGACGTACAGTGATGGAGCTAGGATCACAGCCAGATAGTATGGCTACAGAGCCTGCTGCATTACTGCTTGTTTTCACCAGCCCTTTTCAGAAATATTTCAAATTCACAATGCCCTGGGGATTGGCTTCAGGAAACTGAAGTAGATCCCCAACCCTGGAATAAACAACTGCTGTTAAGTGAGAGCCACAGTTTGTAAGGCACCATCCTAGACCTAATTCTCATACAGCTCACACAGTAGGTGTCATTACCATGTCCCAGTGAGGAAACAAACATCACCTACTCCCCAGACAGGAGTTTAGGGACCACTCAAAGGCCATACACCTAGTCAATGACAGGTGGTGTGGCTCTGTGTGCCCTTTCTCCAGATTAGACACAGCATCCATGCATGGACAAGGCTGGGCCATGACATACTGTACTGCTGACCACAGCCATTTTTAAAAATATATATTTTATTGATTTTTTAGAGAGAGTAAGGGAGAGGGATAGAGAGTTAGAAACATTGATGAGAGAGAAGCATTGATCAGCTGCCTCCTGCAAAGCCCCCACTGGAGATGTGCCTGCAACCAAGGTACATGCCCTTGAATGGAATCGAACCTGGGATTCTTCAGTCTCCAGGCCAACGCTCTATCCAGTGAGTCAAACCGGCGAGGGCAACCACAGCCATTTTTTAATGGTCTTTGAAAAGTATAGAGGAAGAAAAAACAAATACTAGAAAACTGAGTTTTTGGCCTCACAAAATCCTATCCAATAAAAGAGAAACATGGTAATTAGCGTACGACCGCTACCCTTCCCATTGGCTAATCAGGGCGATATGCAAATTAACTGCCAGCCAAGATGGCGACCTGCAGCCAGGCAGCTTGAAACTAACATGAGGCTTGCTTGCTTCAGTGACGGAGGAAACCAACATTCCCTGCCTGCCTTGCCGGCCTCTGAGCCTGCAATTTGAAACATTGTAACAAATATAGAAGCTAAACAAAACCCCAAAACCTGCTTTCAGCGAGCCGGGATCTCAGAGCTGGAGTTGATACAGAGTTTCGATTATAGAACCTAAACAAACCAGATACCTGCTTTCAGCAGCAGAGGCCTAAGAGCTGGAGCCTCAGAGCTAAAGCTGGCCCAGAATAAAAAAGAAAAAGAAAAAAAGGAGCAGTTGGGAGCTTCCATCACCCGCCAGCCTGAAAACAGCCCTCAGCCCCTCACCCAGGCTGGCCAGGCACCCCAGTGGGGACCCCCACCCTGATCCAGGACACCCTTCAGGGCAAACCAGCCAGCCCCCACACGTGCACCAGGCCTCTATTCTATATAGTAAAAGGGTAATATGCCTCCCAGCACCAGGATCAGCATGACGGGGGCAGCGCCCAAACCCCCTGATCGCCCTGCGGCTCTGTGTGTGACAGGGTGTGGGGCCACAACCTCCCTATCGGCCCTGCTCTGTTCCTGACAGGGGAAGGCGCCCCAACCCCCTGATCAGCCCTGCTCTGTGCCTGATAGGGGGTAGCTCCCCAACCCCCGATCGCCCTGCGGCTCTGTGTGTGACAGGGGGCGGTGCCCCAACTCCCCTATCGGCCCTACTCTGTGAGTGACAGGGGGGAGCTCCCCAGCCCCCTGATCGGCCCTGCTCTGTGCATGACAGGGTACCGAGCTCCAACCCCCCTGATTGGCCCTGCTCTGTGTGTGACAGGGGGTGGCGCCGCAACCTCCCCATCGACCCTGCCTTGAGTGTGACGGGGGCAGTGCCCCAACCCCCCAATCAGCCCTACCCTGAGCGTGACTGAGGGTGGCATCGCAACCTCCCGATCCGTCCTGCTCTGTGCATGACAGGGGCGGCGCCCCAACTCCCCAATCGGCCCTGCTCTGAGCCCGACCAGGGGCTGCACCTAGGGATTGGGCCTGCCCTCTGCCACCCGGGAGCAGGCCTAAGCCAGCAGGTCATTATCTCCCGAGGGGTCCCAGACTGCAAGAGGGCACAGGCCGGGCTGAGGGACCCCCCCTTCCCCCCGAGTGCACAAATTTTTCTGCACTTGGCCTCTAGTCTATATAATAAAAGCCTAAGCGACTGTTACGGCGGAACGGCCAGAACGACCGGTTACTATGATGTGCACTGAGCATGAGGGGGTAGACGCTCAACACAGGATCTTCCCCCTGGTGGTCAGTGCACTCCCACAGCAGAAGGCCTGCTCAGCCAGAAGCCGGGCTCATGGCTGGCGAGTGCAGCGGCAGTGGCGGCAGCGCTAAGAAGCAGTGAGGCGAGTGGTAAGGAGCAGTGAGCAGGCGGATGGTAAGGCGCGAGGGGTCCCTGACTGCAAGAGGGCACAGGCCGGCTGAGGGACTCCTCCTCCCAGTGCACAAATTTTGTGCAATGGGCCTCTAGTATATTAGAAAGAAATAAGTTAAATTAACAACAAAAAATTCATCCTTAGGACTTCATTCACCTAGTATGCCCAGGAAGCAGGGTTTGTGCATTGCTCAGATGCCCATTCTCCCCAGGGCTGTGCAGCAGAGTAGAGGAAGCTGGGTTGGGTCAGGGGCGTGAGCGGGCGTCCAGGCTCTGGGATTTCCTTGGGAAGCTTGTTCACCCTCCCTGGCCTTTAGTTTTCTAGACTGTACAATGGGAATTATAACCATCCTCATTGTCTTACCTCATTGTCATGTAATTAGGTGAGATCAAATATAAGGCAGGGCTCTATAGCCAACATATTTAAAGTTGATTACTATTATTATGTGGGCTAGCTAATAAGATGCTTCCACAGAAAAGAGAAAAAGATGGGGTGGCCCGAGCTAGTTTGACTCAGTGGATAGGCCTGCGGACTGCAGGGTCCCAGGTTCCATTCTAGTCAAGGGCACATGCTCAGGTTGCAGACTCGATCTCCAGTAAGGGGCATGCAGAAGGCAGCTGATTGATGATTGTCTCTTATCATTGATATTTTTTTTCTCTCTCTCTCTCTCTCACTCTCTCTCTCTCTTTCTCTCTCCGCCCCTTCCTCTTTAAAATATAAAAGTATATTTTTTAAAAAGTTTCACTCTCCTTTAAATAAAAAAAGATGGTGTGTGCGCCTGAGTGCTTATGCATGTACATGCACATATATGCATGCATGAATGTGTGTTCAGACCCATATGTATAAGTAAGTTATGTTGTACAAATGAAAATGAAAAGACTAGCTGATGAAGTATGCTAGGGCAAGTCTGCAGGCTCCTGATTTTAGCTGCCACACTCTCAGATTTGCAGACAATGTTGAAAGCTTGCTGCTGTGACCAAGATAAGACGAACAGTAGCCCTCGAAGGACTAGCACCACAGCCTGTGACCCCACAGCCAACTTTAGGGAGTTGCAATGGACATGGAGCTCCACCCAGAGGGCCCTGGGAAATGAGAGCTTATATTCCAGGGAGTGTGGGGATGGGGGGCGGGGTGAAAGATAAAAGTATTAAATGGGGCATGGGACTCTGACGGGTACTTTAACAGGAATGATCACTCGGTCCCCCTGGATGAAATAAGCTTGTCCTTGAGGGATCCTATACTGCTTCCCACCATCCCTCCCAAAATCCTTCCTCACCCCCTTTCTCTCTTTCTGTTCCCCAGTTCCTCTGCTGTGTTTCCTCACCTCTGTTTTTTCTGCTAAAACGTTTACTTTATTGGATTTGTCATGCCTATTTTCCTTACCTGCTGTCAATCTTTGACTGCAGCGATGAAAATAATCAAATCACTAGCAACCATATCCACGCTCGGAATTACTTTTATGAAGGGACATGCCAGAACTCCATAAGGTAATCTCTTTCTGAGAATTGTATAAGTTGGATTTTTAATTTACATGTATGATAAAACTGTAATGACTTGTGCCCTTCAAATCATAGGTCTGAGTACAAGTCAGGAGGGTAAGGAATGGAGTATCAGCAACGAAGGAGTCCGCTGGTGTTTGCTTCCTCTTCCCATCTGCTTTTCTGCTTAATGAGTAAGTCTAACATAACGGGTAGGATTGCCAGAAAATGTAGGGTCTAGAATAGGGGTCAGCAACTTTGTCTGCAAAAAGCCATAGAGTTAATATTCTAGGCCTTCTCAGGCCATACGATTTCTGTTGCAAACATTCAACTTGGTGTTATGTCACAAAAATAGCCAGTGAGCATGGCTGTGTTCCAATAAAACCTACTGACAGACCTTAAAACTGGAATTTTACATAATTTTAACATGTCAAAAATCATACTTTAAAAACATATTTTTCCAACCATTTAAAAATGTAGAAACTATTGCTAGTTTGCTGACTCTGCAGAAATAGGCAGTGAGTGGGCCAGATTTGGCCTGTGTGCCACAATGGGCCAATCCCTAGTCCAGAACATTTTATATATTAAGTATATTCTTTATATTAAACCCATTGAAATTGAAGTTAATTATCTCTTTTTGCCCATCCACTTCCCCTAAGTCTGTTAATTTCTTTTAAATATGTTTTTATTGATTTCAGAGAGAGAGAGGAACATCAATGATGAGAGAGAATCATTGATTGGCTGCCTCCTACATGCCCCATACTGGGGATCAATCCCACAATCTGGGCATGTACCCTGACCAGGAATTGAACCTTTTGGTTCATAGGTCAACACTCAACCACTGAGTCACGCGGCCAAGCTATTAAATTTTTCCCCACACTTACCTCCTATTCTGATTTACCAGTACATCACTCTTATCTACCTTCACCTATTGTTTTTTTCTCCCTATAAACCTCACATAGAATGCCAAAGCCCCACCTGTAAGCACCCAGCACTGTGGTGGGCACTAATAAAGTGCAAAACACAGAGCCTATGGCTGACCATGTTGGCACAGTCAGTTCTCCATTCTCTTCTCCCCCTTCCTTCCTAGTCCAGTCCAGTCCCACAATAGAAGCTGAAAGCATCAGTCCTCACTTTCCCAATCCTCCCTGGCAGACAAGACGTGGGTATGTCTGTGACCCACTGTGACCTGAGGAGAAGTCTGTTTGGGTGTTCCTAGGAATGGGTTTGCTCTGTGAAGGGAGGCAGGGTGAGAGAGAGAGGGAAAGAGAGACAGAGGGAGAACAAGAGCAGAAGCCTGACCCTTTCCTTGTTTTCTGCTTTTGGATGCTGTCATGTAAAGAGATGATGTGTGGAGCTGCAGCAGCCACCTTGCACCTCAAGGGGAGTCCAAAAGCTGACATAGAGGCATAATATTGTTAATTCACTGAACTACTACTACAACTCTCTGGACTGCATGTTATAGGAGATAATAAACCCGTAGGGTGGGAATTCTGTTACTGTCTTACACAGACAACCTTCATTTTGTAAAGCTTATATTGTTAGAGGGGTGATGTGACACATAAAATGCAAAACTATTAGAGGAAAACACGAAATACTTTTAGTGCCCCTTGATTAAGAAAAAGCACATATCAACTATTCCCTCCTTGGCAGCCCTAATCTATCTACATCAAAATATGTTCATGTCTCTCCTAGTAGTTCCTGGCCTATCTTCATCTTCCACTTCACAGGCAAGCTTCTTGAAAGTTATTTTACTTTATTATTAACCTTACTATCTCCACTTCCTATCCTATCGTCCTCATTCCTCAAATGGCAGTATTCTGCTTTTCTTTCGTCCACACTGCTCCATCAACCCGCTTTCAACAGTCACCAATGACTTCTGTGCTGACTACCCAAGCACGGTTTTTACCTCTTATCTTGTTTGACCTCTCCACAGTGTTGATACTATTCACCAGGCCTCCCAGACGCTGTACTTTGTTGATTTTCTTTTCCATCTTTCCATCTTTATTGCTGACTTCTCCTTATTGACTGATCTCTGAATGTTAGTGTTCCTCAATGTTCTTCCCTCATCTTACACACTCTTCTCAATTAGTCTCATCTATCTCTATGGCTTTAGTTGCTACCTATAAATTAATGATGCCCACACCTATACACCTCTCTCCCATGTAACTAAATGCCTAATGGACAGCTCCATTTGAATGTGTTGATGATGCCTTAAACTCAACATGGCCAAGCCAAATCATCACCTCCCCCTCATATCTCAGGGAACAGCACTACAACATACCAAGCTGCCCAGGTCACAACCCCAGACATCAGGACGGGTATCTTGACATCTCCCTCCTTAGTCTCGCACATAACATGCATTCTCTCGGCTTGCAATGTTCTCCCCTTACTTTGTCACATGGAGAACGTCTCCTCGTCCTTCACGGCCCAGATGAAAAGGCAGCTCTTCTAGGAAGCCTTTTCTAAATCTCTCTACCTATAAGCTGCTTTCTTCTCAGCATTTCCTTCTTTCTTAGGACATATGTCTATGACAGCTTTTATCATACTTTTTATATCACCTGCTTGTCTGAGTAGACTATGAGCTGGAAAACAAGAACTGTCTCATCCATCTTTCTATGCAGGGCACAGTCTAGACCAGTGGTTCTCAACCTTGGCTGCACATTAGAATCATCTGGGAATCTTTTTAAAATCCTGATTTCATGAGGCCCAGAAAATCAGGATTTTAAAAAGATTCCCAGATGATTCTAATGTGCAGCCAAGGTTGAGAACCACTGGTCTAGAAGGTTGTCAATAAATATTTGTTGAATTAATTAATGAATGGACACACAGTAATTATTTGTGGGATAATTGATTACATTAATGAGAAAAAAGTTATAATCAAGCTTTCATGCCTGATAGAAAAAATATTCTTTCTAACACAACACTTTTGTCAATGATTGGATAGCAAACCCACATAATTTTTACATTTAAGATTGAAGAAAACTGCAGATATCCAGATCAGCTGCTTTAGGGCTCATTTGTAATTAGCAGTACTAATTTTCCTGGTGACAGTTAACTACTAAAACCTTTCATGTGTTAGTTCTTTCAGTTAGGTTAAACATGCCCCGAGGAATTCAAGTAATATTATTCATTTGCTTATAAACCTTTTACCCCTTAGATTAACTTCAAACCAATTCAAATCAAATTAGCTCAAATTCGAAACTCCAAATGAATAGAATTTTAGCACATTTTGCAAATTTGCTTTATATCTCATTATTTTGTTGCACTCTGCTTCATACTTTCATAGCAAATACATTCAGACATCTGGCACTAAATTGGGGGTTTTCCTGGCTCAGTCATCATTATTATCACTGGACATTGCAGGAACTGCCATGTGGAAGGATTTTGTATTGTTTAATGAAGGAGAGCAGTTACTTTAAGAAATGCTAATTGTCAAAACGCTCTCTGGAGTTCAAGTTCGGTAGGCATAATTCCTATTTGTAACAAATGTCCTCACAATTGTATTTCTGGTTATTTTTCTAAGGAATGTTTGCACAGTTTTTTAATAAAGTATATTGAAGAAGTTTAATGAGAGTTTTTGGTTTGTTAGAAACATGCACACCCTCTATCTCCTCAGTGCTCTCCTATGTAGACATGTGGTGGCTCATTCCATACAGTGACTTCTGTGTAATGTGGCATTAAATGAAACCTGGATTTGAATTACGTTAGACCTCAAATGGAAAAGAGCTCTGGAAATAGCTGGGAAAGCTCCAGGTCATTAGCTGTAAGTAGAATCATAATTGGCGAGGGGTTACTCCTGCACAGTTTGGAAATAAGCTGGTGAGTTAATCTTCCTGTTTGTGGCAGAGAGCTTCTTAAACTTTGAAAGAAATTATTTGAGACATAAAGGTAGGGATAGAAATACTTTGCTGGATCTTCTCCATTCGTCAAGATGGTTTTGGAGGGAAAAGTTTGCCATTGTTCTGAATTTTTTTTTTTTATTCTAGTTAATTCACATTATTTTGGAGAGCTTTGCCTAGGAGGAAAACTAATTTCTTATGTTCCTTACCTCTCTTTCAAGTCCTACTCCCCTACCTTTAAATTCTCACGAGGGATCTTTTGGGAGGGTGAAACAGAAGTGGGCAGACAGAAATTGAATTGAAAATAAATTCTCCAGAAAGCACCACCGTCCTGGAAATGGTTCTGTCTGAATGGATTCTTTGAGAGGTGTTCTGTTTCCATCAAAAACGCAAAAACTTTCAAACGTTCACTGTTCAGGTCTCAAAACTTGATGAGAAAAATGTTCAACATTTGAGGTATTCAAAAAAAGCCTGAACAAACGAAAGAAACCAATTGCTCTCTGGACCACTTTAGGAGAGAGTTGCTGGAGAGCCTTCATGGTTCGTTCAGAAGGGAAACCAAGATGAGCCTTAAAAAGTCTGTCCAAACGATGTTCTCAAACAAAAGGACAGGAGGTGGGAGCCTGATGGTGCCCAAAGCTAGGCGTCAGTGTCCTTTCTTCCTCCTTTCTCCCCTTTCTCCCCCTTCACCTCCACCCGGTCCCGCACGCCTCCCCGCCAGGCCCCTGCTGCCCATCCTTGCTCCCCCTCTAAACCCCTGGTGGTCTCAGGCGCCTCCACGCCCAGCAGAGAGCCCAGAAGGTCCCGGGCTTCTGGGCTTCTCCACACTCACGCCTCCCTCTCTGCCGCCCTGCTCCTCGCTCCGGCCGCCCCCTCTTCCCGGCGAAGGGGGATCCCAGCCAAGGGGGCCGCCCCAGCCTCGGCCCTCCCCCTCCTCCCAGGGACCCGCCGGGCCATAAAGCACCGGGCCGGACCGCCCAGCCCAGCCGCCAGCCCGCCAGCCCACCAGCTCCGCGCAGCGCCCGGACGCCAGCACCGCCCCCGACGGCACGGCGGACGCCGGTCCCGCACCAGCCCCGCACCGCGCACTCTTCACCTGCGCCGCCCGCCCAGCGTCCCACGCAGACCCGCGTGCCGCCCGGGGATACCGAGGCAGGACCCACGCTGCCGTCGCTCCCGGTCGCCCGCGAGGATCGGGGAGAGCCAACATGCTGGCACCGCGCGGAGCCGCCCTGCTCCTGCTGCACCTGGCCCTGCAGCCCTGGCTGGGGGCCGGCGCCCAGGCGCCCCAGGGTAAGTGGGCTCGAGCCCCAGACCCCTCGTTCGCGGAGCCCGCCGTCCCGCGCTCTTCTTGGTTGAGTGGAGGGACCAGCTTGGCGGCGTGGCTCCCGGGGCCTCGCTGGGCACCTCTCTGTCCCTCTGGGGCCTGAGTCAAAGCATTCTGTGTATAGTATTTCTGAGACTCCATTATCCAACGATAAAATCAATTCCTTAAACAATAGTGGGGGGGGGGGGGCGGTTCCAAACCTTATTTTCAGTCTATGCAAAAACGTGGGGTTTTCTTCAAAGCTGACCCACCACATGGCCCCAGACCTCTAACATACCCCGCCCGGAGTGGGGTGAAACCCGGGTTCTGCCCCCTGAGTCTCAGTCCAGATGGCCCACCCTCTCCCTTGCCCCCTAAATCCTTCGTGGGGCCAGAGCGATGTTCACCCAGTCTGAGACCTACATCCCGGAGAAAGGCGCAGTGTTATTCCATTTGCCCTGCCACTCGCCTTTTTTTTTTTTGCTCTAACTTTGCTTGGACCCCAAAACCTCCTTAGAGGGTTGGCTTCGTCTCTTGATTCCTGAGATAAACAGAACAGGAAGGGCTGAGAAATCCATCTTTCTCTATGAAGAAGTAAACATTCGATAAATACAATAATTGAAAAGACATCTGGATAAACCTCAAACCTCTGTGTGAGATGGGGTGAAAAATAGCCATTAGGCAGAAAGCACTTAAGCTTTAACAGATTTTTTTGTAAAGGACGAAAGGAAGAAACTGTTTTAGCAAGAAAAGATCTTAGGTGATGACCTTCATCTGTTTGAAATTGGTGCCCTGGGTTATTTATTACTGATTAAGGAAATACAGCTGGAAGAGACACAATAAAACTTACTCCTCACTAAGCTAGAATGAAGAACGCCTGTGAGGGCACTCGCAAATCCCTTCCCCTCCATTGCAGTCATCACCCACTGGAACTCTGCATTTCACCAAATAACGCATTTTGATGCCAGATCAGGCAACCAGGATTGTGGTTTCAGGAGGTACTGTACTGCTTTTAGTTTGCATTGATATTTTTGAAATGCTATAGTCTATAATATTTATTCATTGTGACCTTGCTTCTAAGAAGGTAAGGAAAAGTTTTGTTTTTTTAAAAAATTGAAGTATAATTGACATATATTAATTTCAGGTGTATATTCAAAAATTGCAATATTGAAAAATGATCACCACAATAGGCTACTTAATACCCATCACCATACATAATTACAATTTTTTTTTCTTGTGATGAGAACTTTTAAAATCTACTCCCTTAGTAGCTTTCAAACATGTGGTTCAGTATTATTAGCTGTAGTCACCATGCTGTACATTACTTCCCCAGGACTTGTTTGTTTTATAACTGGAAGTTTTTACCTTTTGGTTCCCTCCTTCCCCAACCCTGACCTCTGGCAACCACAAATCTGTTCAGTATCTAAGAGCTTGGGTTTTCATTTTTTTAGATCCCACATATAAGTGAGATCATACAGTATTTGTCTTTGTCTGATTTATTTCACTTAGTATAATACCCTCTAGGTCCACCTATGTTGTCACAAATGGGAAGATTTCATCCTTTTTTATGGTTGAATAATATTCCATTGTATATGTACACCATATTTTCTGTATCCATTCATCCATCTGTGATACTTAGGTTGTTTCTATATCTCAGCTATTGTAAATAATGCTGCAATGCACATGGGAGTGCATATATCTTTTCAAGTTAGTGTTTTTGTGTTCGTTTTTAGATAAGTACCCAGAAGTAGAGAAGCTGAATCATATGGTAGTTCTATTTTTATTTTTTTTTTCAAATATATTTTATTGATTTTTTACAGAGCGGAAGGGAGAGGGATGGAGAGTTAGAAACATCGATCAGCTGCCTCCTGCACACCTCCTTCTGAGGATGTGCCCGCAGCCAAGGTCCAGGCCCTTAGCCAGAATCAAACCTGGGACCTTTCAGTCTGTAGGCCGATGCTCTATCCACTGGGCCAAATGGGTTAGGGCAGTAGTTCTATTTTTAAATTTGAGGAACCTTCAACCTGCACCAAGTTACATTTCCACCAATGGTGCATAGGGTTCCCTTTGCTCCATGTCCTCGCCAACTGTTTCTTATTTTTTTAATTAGCCTTTCTAACAGGTGTGAAGTGATAGCTCATTATGGTTTTGATTTTCATTTGATTACTAATGTTGAGCATCTTCACATATACCCATTGACCATCTGTATATCTTCTTTGATTTTCTGCCCATTGTTAAATCGGATTGGGTTGTTTTGTTTTTTGCATGAGTCCTTTATATATTTTGGATATTAACTCCTTGTCAGATAAATGATTTGCAATATGTTCTCCCATCTAATAAGTTGCCATTTCATTTTGTTGATAAATTTCCTTTGCTGTGAAGAATCTTTTTTATATGAGAAAGTTAGTTTGTTTTTTTTAAATCCTCACTCAAGGTTATGTTTATTGATTTTAGAGAGAGAGGAACAAGGAGGAGAGAGAAAGAGAAAAAGAAATGTTGATGTGAGAAACATCTATCAGTTGCCTCCTATATACACTCTCACCTAAGATCAAACCCACAACCTAGGTATGTGCTCTGACCAAGAATTGAACCCACAACCTTTTTGGTGTCAGAAAAGTTGCTTTTTCACATATTTCAAAAGTTTTCTTATTGCAGACATGATTAGGCGGGTTTGAATTTATGGGTATAGTATTTTGTGTTATGTGAATTTTTGACATTTGAACACACAACTTCCTAGTGTGCTACCAGTACGGATTTTGCTTATCCTTAGAGAGAGCTACCTGTATTGTGGAGACTTGAAATTAGGCTGTACTTTCTAAATTATCTGGTTAATGTAGTTGCTGTAGATTATCTGATTAAGTCAAGTTTCTGATCGGTTCTTTTACTGAGTTAATTATTCTTGCAATTATCAGCTCAAATGGATGATTTGCTTATCTCCTTCCTCCTCTGAGCTAACCTTGTTAATCTTATTAGTATGTATGAATTCAATTTTCATACCATGGTGGTTAGGCTCATTGATAGCAGTAATTTCACCTCTAACACTAGAAGGTTGTGCTTAGATCCTGGTGCTATTACTAAAATGTAATAACATTAAAAGAAAATTATATATCTCATTTCCTTTTCAAAACACTCTCCAAATTCATTACCAACTAATTCCAACTCTGCCTCTTGAGAGAGAAGCCAGTGGATTAGACAAACCAAACAGATTGAAGTTCGGCAAATTTAGCTTGAGCTAAATTATGGAAGTGATCATAGTCAAAACAAGAATCAGGAGTTCTTGAGTTTAGTTATGAATGCTGTTCTCTCACTTTAAACACACATCCCTTTTCCAAAGATGCCTTGTCCTGGAAAGAACTTTTAAACATATTGCCATATTGCCCTCGCTGGTGGAAATGTAACATTTCCATTCTCTGCAAGTTTAAAAATTTCTGTTTCTCTTTTGAAGTATAGTAGAAGTCTTCGTGTTTGGGGAAAGTGGAGTGCTAGGGGGAACATAATAGATATTATGCTTTCCTACACGTCTAGTAGTAAATTCATTATTGTGTAAGGTTCTTCATACCCGTGAAAGAAACAATACAGATTCAGTCTGAAGACAGGTTGTTTTTTAAAAAGAGTAGACATTCTTTTTTTTTTTTTCCTAAATTTTCCAAAAATTGAAAGGGAAAGAGGAAGCAAGAGTAGACATTTGCTTATCTCCTTCCTCCTCTGAGCTAACCTTGCTAATCCTATTAGTATGTATGAATTCAATTTTCATATCATGGTAGTTAGGCTCATTGATAGCAAGAGTAGACATTCTTAAGTTGTTTTTTTGCCTGTTGGTTTTATAACTTTTATTTCTTTTTTCTTATTACTAATGCAATACCTGTTCACTGTTAAAATAAAAAATGGGGGCAGGGACTGGGTAAACAGAAGGAAATTTAAATATTTATAACTGTACAACGCAGAGACAGCTACTATTCATGTTAGTATTTTGTTGTGTTGTCTTTCAAATCTTTTTCTTTCCAAATATATATTTCAAATGGGATCCTGTTATATGTATAGTTTTATATTCTCTTTTTTCCACTTACTCATAAACATCTTGCCATGTCTATAAGTAGTCAGCTGCACTTCCTTTTTTAATACATAGTATTCCACTTTTTGAAAGGGCCAAATGTATTTATCCAGGGCTCTAAGATAAGTTGTTCCCAGTGTTTTGATATTACAAATAATGACAGCCCAGCCAGTGTGGCTCAGTGGTTGAGTATAGACCTATGAACCAGGATTCCCAGTCCGGGTCCAGGAACATGCCCAGGCTGCTTGGGCTTGATCCCTGCAGTAGGCAGCCAATAGATGATTCTCATCATGGATGCTTCTATCTCTTTCTCCCTCTCCCTTCCTCTCTGAAATCAATAAAAATATATTTTTTAAAAACCCACAAATAATGAATTGTCGAACAATTGCAATGCCATAGGATGACTTAATCGCTGTTGAGCCCTTCTTTCTCCGCTAAGGACACTGTTTTCATAACAAAGTGCTGTGCCACAGAGCCTCCAGTTTCTCACCTCTTTCATTCAATTTTGACATAATTCTTCCTTCACAGAAATTCTAGAATTACTACTGGTGGTGAATATCTTTGTACCTAAGTAATTTACCATGCTATCCTTTATTTCCTTAGGATAATTTATGTGAGTAGAATGCCTAAATCAAACAGCATATATGTCTTAGGGCCTTTGATACTGTTATGTAAACTGTCTTCAGAATAGTTATACCAATTAGATCTTACCCACCAGTATATGAGTTTCCACTTCCTGAACCCTCATCAACAGTTAGGTATTATTGTATTCATTGTTTATGCAATTTAGTGAAAGTATTATTAAGTTAGCAATTCCTTCATCATTAGTTAAACATATGAACATTTACGTATATAATTATTTGCCATTGTAACTCTTTTTCTGTAAATTGATTTTTCATGATTTTTGCCCATTTTTCTATAAGGATGATTATTGATTTTAAGAGCTATTTATAATTATGAATAGTACTACACTTTTAGTAACCAGATTATTGTATCCAGGAGACAGCTATGGAACTGTTCAAACAATATTTGCATAAAACAACAGAAATACTAAGTAACTTATAGTGAGTTAGACCCAAATTTGGCCATTGCCTTTTAAATAACTTTAGATGTACTCTCTCATACCTTTAAGTATTAAAAAGTAGGAGAGAAAGTGCTGCTGGTGTGAACAAAAACAACTTAATCCAGTTTTTGTAAACCAACTCTATCAGTCAGGTAACAGGAAATAGAGACCACATTGTCTTGTTTCTGCATTGGGATTTTTTAACAGAAATATTGGAGAACTGTACGTGCATGAAGGGAACTTAAGTCGCACAAAGGAAGCAAACCATTTTTCTGACACTTATCTCCCACCACATCCATGCTTTCCACTGCATCCCCTGTGTCATTTGTCACTGGCCAGGAAAATACAGTTGGCTCTGGTCCAGGAGATGCATAAGGAACCCCAAGGACTCCAGAAATTCACTAGGTGGGGACCTAAGAAAAGCAATGACTTGGATGCTCTCACCTGTTCCCTTGCACTTGAAGCCTCCAGTGCTTTGCCCAGTGGGCATTTTCAGAGCCACTTCTTCAGCCAAATGCACTTGGGACTTGCAAACTTAGTCTTCTCTTGGAGGTTATAACCTAGTGATAAATACTGTGCTACCTCTCTTCTGGTTCCAAATGGCCAGCCACTGTAAGAGTGATAAGACCTGGGGAGTTTGGCAATGTGGAAAATGACCACATTCGTTTACATTACTTTATAGCTTTCTGTCCATTTGTCCCCCCCTCAAAAAAAGGTGTTTGCCCCAAAGTTAAATATTTTACTGATTACCTCTTTCTCTCCATTCTCTCCAGTCTTTGACCTTCTTCCATCCTCCAGCCAGAGGCTGAACCCAGGTGCCCTGCGGCCAATCCTGACCGACCCCACCCTGAATGAGCTCTATGTGATCTCCACCTTCAAACTGCAGACTAAGAGTTCAGCCACCATCTTCGGCCTTTACTCTTCAACTGACAACAGCAAATATTTTGAATTTACTGTGATGGGACGCTTAAACAAAGGTAAGCACATTTGCAGAAATCATTTTCTTAAAAATCCTCTTTTTCTATTCCAGGATTTGAGGTCTACTTTTCTTAAGATGGTTCCCTTGTACAGTTTTTTTTTCTCATCCACTATTTATTTGTTTTCAATACCAAATTCTTCTCATTGTACATTTACCTATACAGAGAGAGCGAGCTGATGTTGGGAGAAAGAATGAAGAAATGCTTGTGGCCAAAATGCCCTCTGATATTGTCCCTCTTGTTATTCTGGATCCAGTTCTGGAAGAGACAAGAGCCTGGACAGTAAGGCCATTATCTTAGTCAGCTCTGGCTGCTTATAACAAACACCATAGCCTGGGTGGCTTGAACAACAGACATTTCTTTCTCACAGTTCTAGAGGCTTGAAAGTTCAAGATCAAGGTGCCAGCAGCTTTGGTTCCAGGTTAGGGAACCTGGGCCCTGGCTTGTAGACCGCCACCTTCTCACTGTGTCCTCTTATGACCCTTCCTCATTGCGTGCCACTGGGAGAGAGTGAGCTTTTTGTCTTCTTCTCCTTAAAAGGACACTAATGCCATCATGGGGGTCCTATTCTCATGACTTGTCTAAATCCATTTATCTCCCCAAATCCCACTTCCTAATACCATCACATTGGGGTAGGGCTACAAGATGTGGATTTGGGGGGACACAAATATTCAATGCATAACCATTTGTATGTTCCCTTGGAAGCATGTGGCTTAGCAGACCTAACTCCTAGCTCTGCAAGCACCTTCCTGGACTTGATGAAGCGACTATACCTCAGCCAGTAAAACTAAATAAACTGCTCTTTTCCACTGTTTCATGCCAATTTACACAGACCTGTCATCTGTTTGGTCCCTTTACTGTCAAATGTTTTACTGTCAAAATGAGTTACTACAAGCACTAAAAAATTACTCTCAAAGAATAAGGTCACTACTTTTTCATCTCTTTCCCTTCCACCTATGCCTTGGGGACAACACCTGTTCCTGCTTATTGAGGAATGAGACAGATATGTGTTTTGCTTTTAATAATAAAAAATGGACCAGTCCTTTTGGCTAGATTTTATATTTATTTCGGTTTGCGTTACAAAGTACATAGATACTTACAGTGCTCTAGGCTCCTAGTTTCTAATTGTGATGGAACACTTAAGTCAGCAGGCATTAGGAGCTGGAAGACATGCCTAATTCTTAGCTTTCATGGGACTATAGAGTTAAAAGCAAGAAGAATGAGGTTTTAACCCCTTCTTTTATGTCACATGCCAACATCCTCTTTTCCTTTTCCCACTCCACTCACAAGTCTGATTTCTCTGTGCCTCGCAGCCTCTCAGGGGTGAGGGTTCCCATAAGGGAGTCTGGGGACAAGGTTCATGGCTCTACATGGTTCATGGTTCAGCCATTCCTCCTCCCTTCGCCCCATCAGCAGGCCTGATGGGAGGCAGTTTCACCCATCTCCCTGCCTTGAATCAGCCCCATTTTGCCACACATCTGTTGAAGGAACTGCTTATCTTCTAACAACCCAGCTACTCAGTTTGTGATCAGTAAACGTTACCCATCTTCATATGAACATCAGTAGCTTCTCATTAAACTGTCTATTTAAATGCATGGAAGATTTTCTTTTAGCTCTCTCAGCCTCGTGGCTAAAAGGCTCTCTGTAGAGTGAAAACCTCTGCTTCTAGCTTTACCCCCTCACTGAATCTCACCCTCTACTCCTGAACTGGTCAGAGTGTGTAAACCCATTGTGGAAAGTCCATTGCCTGGAAACACAAGGAAGCAGCTTACCTTGAACTGATTCTTTCTGTTTGGTAAGCAGGAGTAAAGCTAGATACTATATGGGCAGGTAGATTGATAGGTAAGGGGATTGTTAGTGTGTTTTGTTTGAAGAACCAGCAGTCGTGATTCAGCTGTAAATCCCAGCTGATCACCATGTTAGAGGAGATGATAAGAGGAATGCTGAGCACCTCTGCACCCTCCAACCTATTAGAGGCCATCGGTAGCTCTTAGAAAAAATATTTTTAAAGAGTTTGAAAAGAATCCAGAAATGAAAATTCTCAGAAAACAAAGAGGCATTTATACTAGTATTAGAGTTTAGAGAGTTGAATAATTTCACATAGAGAAGTTTCACTGGAGCAATAGGAAAAAGTACAGAGACTTACCATCACTGGTGAATCAGAAAGTTCTAGGAAGGAGCAGCAGCCCATTCTGATTGAAATGAGAAAATGTCTCTGAGTCCAACAGGTCCAAGGAAAAGACATGACATATGGTTGTGACGCCCCATTGTGGTATTCAGGTGGCCTGACATAGTTTATGGAGGGTGGGGAAAGAATCGTCTTCCTAGCAGGTGAGCCCCCGTCATTACTCAACTGGCAAGGCTCAGCTGATCTGTCCTCTTGATTTGCATGGAGCACAGTGAAACAGTCAGAAATAAAGCATGTGAGTAGGAAATGGGACCCGTCTTTCCCTCCATTAAAGGCAATGAATTGGGAGTGGGTGACTATACAGATGGTGTCAAAGAGCAGGGCCCTTGGAGAGCTCCTACAATAAACTAAAGTGTATCCCATGAAGACTGTGAAAAATAAGTTTGTTACTGGGCAATATCCAAGTCATCTTACCATGGTGGCCTCATTATTATTTGCAGAGCATAAGCCCTGACCCCCGAGACCTTTTGTGGCTTCCCATTCCAAACTGATTAAGATATAAACACCCCAGCTGTGCATTCAGGGCTTTCCCCTGCATGACTCCCACCCAGCCTTTCCTCCTTCCAACCCTCCATGCAGCCTATACTTCAGCTGGATGGACTGGCTGCCAATCCCTGAACCCAGGCATGCTGTCTTTCCTTCTCCATCATTTTGCTCTTGACCTCTGCTCCCTCCACACACATTCTGAAACATCTCCAGATACCAAAATCCTATATATGCAAGACCTACCTCAATCTCCTTCTGACACCTTTCCTTATATGACTTTGTATCTCTGTGGAAGGCACTAATCTTCGTTTGTCTTGTAACTTGAATTACCTCTAGGTCTTTTCTCTGGTAGGTTGTAAGCCCCCTCAAGGCAGAGACTGAGCATCCCTTAAGTCACCTTTGTGTCTACTGCTGCACCGAGCACAGTGCCTCATACGTGGACGTGGTTCATGAGCAGATTGAACAGAATAAATTGAGGCTGAGAAGAATAGCCTTGTTTGTTAAAGAAGACATACACTATTGTGCAAATTCTGGAAGTACAGAGTGTCTGTCATGTTGAGGTCTGATTCAGATTCACTTTTGAATGAATGAGTGTTGAATACCATTTGGATGAGAATAGAAAAGAAATATAGGTAGTACTTCTGATAGAAATTATTTATCAGATTATTAGTAACATGGGTGGTCTAATCTTGATAGAAATAAGCATTCTACAGAAGCATCTGACTGAATAGATGGATATGGTTGCTGCTTTTCTAGTATCTGGCATGGAAGCAAATTTCCAATTAATATCCTGCTTTTGAATTACAGTTAAAATCTTATGGCTGTGCCACCATGAATACATCTCTGCTGTTAGCTTCAATTGCTCTCTGTGAAGTGGGGATGAAATAAGAGCTGCCTCACAGGTTGATTGCAATAAGTGACTTATATGAAGGATAATAACTTTTTTATATTATGAAGCTCAATAGAAATGCCAGTTTCTTCTAGAACAGTGGTTCTCAACCTTGGCTGCACGTTAGAATCACCTAGGAATCTTTTTAAAATCCGGATTTCTGGGCCTCATCTCCAGAAATTCTGTTTCTTTGTTACTAATGTTGTGGCCTCGTCCCCATAACAAAGAAACAGAATTTCCGGAGGATGAGGCCCAGAAATCAGGATTTTAAAAAGATTCCCAGGTGATTCTAATGTGCAGCCAAGGTTGAGAACCACTGTTCTAGAAGGAAGGAAAGAAGAAGGGAGAGATAGATATCTCTGTACCATTTAAGCAGCTGTCTTCCAAAGATGATGATTGGGTGAACTCTTGATGAAAGCTTCCCCTTAAGAAAAAACAGGTGAGAAGAACTGCTTCATTTGTTGTTTTTACTTCTTTTTCAATTACAGTTTACATTCAATATTATTTTGTATTAATTTCAAGTGTACCACATAGTGGTTAGACAAGGTGTCCCCCCTGATATTTCCAGTGCCCACCTGGCACCACACATAGTTACTACAATTGATTATAAACCCTATGTTGTACTTTATATCCCCATGACTATTTTGTAATTACCAATCTGTACTAAGAACTGCTTCTTGAGTCTTAATTTGATCTCTACAGAAGAACAACTTGGTGCTGTGGAAGTGAAGGGAACCCAAGATTTTGCAGTAATTACTGGAGAGTGTCAGTCAAGCTTCTAAGTAAGCGTAAGGGTAGGAGATGTCAGATAGTTCAGGGCTTTGGAGAGATGTAACAGTTTAAAAATTAGAATTTGGAACCCAATAATGACGGGTAAAAAATGAGGCACCTCAAATATTTACAATAATATTCATGACACCCTTATGATGTACCAGGACAGTGCGAAAGACTTGCCAACACTCATTTTCCCTTTTAACTTTCACAATATTCTTATGAGGTACCCTTGAATGAGCTCAATTTTAAAGTGATTATATGCAGAAAATGAAAGAATTTTAGTGAACTTTAGGACAAATGCCCAGAGGGTTAAATAATTATTCATGAATTTATGATTACCTGGAAAGGAAAGCTGGGATTAGGGTTTACTAAAAGTAAGTCATGCCAACCGTTTTTTGTATGTAAAGTTTCTAAGCTAACAGATCAAAAAGATGCTGTGAGCATAATATACACTGAGTGGCCAGATTATTATGACCGACCAGATTATTATGACCACCCCATCAGTACTCCAGTGACACTTCCAAAAATACTGAATATTGAAAACTTCCTACGCAAACACTCTCAAGGTTTTATTATTATTATTATTATTTGCAAAACTAATTCACTTCATTGTACTGATGGGATGGTCATAATAATCTGGCCACTCAGTGTATATTGACTTCA